TTACACTGTCTTAAAGAAATAATTTCCAAATGATGTGGAGCTCTTTTTGTACTGGAAGTTGAGCACATATTCTAAAATCTGTATTAAAAAACCCCATGAGAGCCATTCAAGAGCTAACAAAATTGCTGTGACATGAAAATAAAGGAGCTCAGGGTATTTTGGTTTTATTTATGCAGAAGATGGATAAGATACAGCTTGATCACAGTTTCAAAGCAGGAAATTTCTGCTGGGAGGAAGTTATTTAATTTAGCACATAAAGGCGTAATGAGATTCAAAGGCTTGAAACTGAATCTAAATGTATTGATTCTACATATAGCATAACATTCTTAATAGTGAGGAGAAGTGAACACTGGAGTAATATGCTTCAGAAATCACAAAGAGAGAATATCTCATGAAAAGAGAGAAAAACTCTGTTTGAAGACCATTTGAGGTACAAAACCTAGGGCTGTGCCATTTATTTGTACCAAAATATACGCTTTCCTTATTAGACAGAAAATAGATGTATGTGAGGCTTACAGAAATTCCACAAAGGAATTGTAAAACTATATTCCAGAAACTGAAAGTAGCGATGTTCAGAACTACAAATCTAGTTCATAAAGATGATGTCCTTATAATGGTTATGTTTTGACAAAATCCATCCTGTGATACAGATACAGCTGACTAACCTCCTGGTTGGTTTAGTTGGTTAGTGGTATGTTTGAATTCTTCAACCTTTCTATTAATTACTTGGCTAAATAATTGGTGGGTTTTCAACTGGTAAATAAGTCAGTGGCATAGGTCTTCTGCAAGAAGAAGCTGTTCTATGTTCCAGTTACACACTAAATCAATTTTACAGTCTGTTTATGTAATGGAGTAACACTAGCCCACAAGCATCTGCTTTTAGGGTGCTGCATATTCCTACTCAAACATGTAGCAGTCAGTGCAGATCAGATGACAGGACTTCTTCAAGCAGCACCCCACAATTCTCAAATGTTTTAAAGGAGAGGCTATAAATAAGAGTTGCCTGATTTAAGTGTGTCTTTTAATAAAGCAGTGGATGTGAGACCCTGGTTTATGCATAATAATTATAACCCCTTAATTTAGTGCTCATTGCTGTACATAGATTGGTTTTAGTCATGGAAGAAGTTAAGTGCTTGAAAAATACATAGCATGGTGTAATTTTTTTTCTACGGGAGAATTTTGGTTTTGAAAAAGATGCCATATATAATTTAACAGTTTTTATTCAACAGGGGATGTTTGTTAGCTGCTTGGCATGCTTTGGCAGGAGGTCCTTTATGGTACCATTGCTTCAGTTTCTCTGCCTTGCAAGGAGGAGCAAATCAGACTGCAATCCTTGTTACTGTAGTAAAAATGAGTCATGGAAGCTGTGGCATGCTGTGGAAAGTTTGGTCATAGATCAGGCTTACGAGAACCTTTGCCCATTGATACCTCTCCTATGTATGCAGTCATTCACTGGTAACTGGTTTCTAGTAAAACATACCCATATATGCATGTGCTTTGACATCAGGCATTCAAGATGAGTATGGATATGACATGAGAATATCAGATATATACTAACTGATCTTTATACAAGTGACCAAAAGGATCTGAAGGAAAAAAGATGTGAATCGGGTTGTAATGTTTGAAAGTGGAAATTAACTTGGGATGGAACGGCCCAAGACATGAGATTGTGAAGTCTTCATTAATAATGTATTATGCTGTCATAGAAGTCTTGATCTGGGAAGCTGAATTCAATTTTTTCCCCCTTAAAATAATGATAAGTTTTTGAATAACAAGATGTTGAAATACTCTGTGAAAAACTGTTGCATACAAGTGAATACAGAGAAAAATACCCTATTTCACATATATAGATATTAAAACCAGGATTAAACATATTTTCAGGACTAACATTTTTCCATCTGATTGTTACTGCTGTCACAGTTTTACTGCTTGAGGTGCGTAATTCTAATTTTACTTGTTTCACTCTAGATCCCCACAGATATCCAGACTTAGTTTTCATCTTTTTCCTTCTTATGTATAAGTTAGGATAATCTGGCATGTCTGTGAATGCCTCTGAGAGAGCCAACATACTGATGAGAGAGAAGATGGTGACTTTTTATCCTTGAAACCCACGATGTCTGCTTCAAGGTATTCACATGCTTCTGTGTTAGTCCTCCCTTTTAATATCCTCAGAGATATTCCACTCTCCCTGACAGCAGCATCGTTATTTAACAAAAAAGCAAAAGTGAAAGAATAAATTCAGTCAGAAGCCTGCACTGTAGCTACTTCTGCTCTATGTCCTGGTAGAGTTCGCTGGTATGAAAAGATTTAATGAGGTAAGGTTGCAGTCCTCTATACTTGGCAGCAAAGCACAGAGTTTCAGAAGATGCACTAAAGTGCAAGAGCATGTGCCAAGTCATTTTATCTCTCCAGCTACTCTTGCTGAAAGGACCTCACTGCAGCTCCCAGAATGTTTGAAAACCACCATCAGTCAGTAAGAAAGCTGCTATTTAAGCACCAGTCCTTACTTTAGGGCAATTGGCCAGACTGACTCAGACGGCACAATTTCTCTCTTTTTCTAGTAATTCGTGAAGTATTTCAGTCTGAACACTTATGCAAATAAATGTGAATTACTGGAGAGTGCTTTCTTTGTGATACACTGAATGAAATCATCTACTCTGTTAGGATATTTCCTAGAAAACTGATTTAGCATGATACTTATGCTGAAGGGCGACAGCAGCTTAATCAGGGCAATACTAGTGTAATTTTCATTAAGAACAGTCATTAGCTAGTACCATGTATTTATACTGAATATAAAGCTTAAGTTAAAGGGAAAGCACTTACCTCTTAAAACTTCCACTCAGTTTGAAATCCCTGTTGGGTTTAGTGCCAGTCTTGCTTCCTCTCACTTTACAAGTAGTGGGGAACCATATAAAAATAGTGCCACAGAGCACTCATTCAGAATGGGCCAGAGAATTACCATCAACCCTTAAAAAGTATCCTTGACATCTGTCTTTATTGTCCATTTTAAACAGGTTGTTTAAATGATGCACAGGTTTTTATTATTTGATTGGTTATGGTTGTATTTAGGACCACATTTTGGGAACAAGTTGCAAATAGAGTTACTTCCAGTATTTTTCCACCTTGCAGTCCTATAATGTAGTTATGAAGTTTTATACACAGCTTTTCATCTGGAAATACCAGTGCACTGAGATCGCTCTCAAAGGAAATACTGTATTCTTATGTAAAATACTATCTCCACCTTACAAATAGGGAAATGAAAGCACAGGGAAGAAAAGGTACTTTTTTTTTTTACCCTGAGGTTATCTGGTAGAGAGTTGACAACATCAGGAGTAGAGCTCAGGTCTGTTAAGGTCAGTGGTCTCTCTTAAACTGCTTGTTTAGCAATTGGAAAAGCAATTGCTTAATACTTGAAAGTTTTCACCCTCACATTTGCTAATCTATGGACTCTACTTCTCTGAGGCCAATTTTAGAATAGTTTACTGCAAGTATCTTCACCTGTGAAAGGGGGAATGAAGTTTCTGACATTTCCTTGCAGTATAGGTGCTCCATTGGCACTTTTGTGTTCAGTTCTGGGTCCCTCCCTGCAAGAGGGACATGGAGGTTCTGGAGTGGCTCCAGAGAAGGCCAGTGAAGCTGGTGCAGGGCCTGGAACACAAGTGTGATGGGGAATGGCTGAGGGACCTGGGGGGTTAAGTCTGGAGAAGAGAAGGCTTGGGGCAAGGGGGGGGATACCTTATCATTCCCTACAACTGCCTGACAGGAGATTGTAGTGAGGTGGGGTTGGTCTCTTTTCCCAAGGAGCAAGTGACAGGACAAGAAGAAATGGTCTCAAGCTGCGCTGGGGAGGATTAGACTGGAGCTTAAGAGATTTCTTCACTCAGATGGTGCTCAGGCACTGGAACAGGCTGCCCAGGGCAGTGGTGGAGTCACTGTCCCTGGAGGTGTTTAAAGGATGTACAGATGTGGCACTTAGGGAACCATGGTTTAGTGGTGGTTTATGGATCAATGCAATGATCTTAAATCTCTTTTCTAACCTAAGGAATTCTATGATTCCGTGATTAAATACAACAAGTAGATAGGGCTTTATGTTGTAAAATCTTGTTTTTAATCATAATCTTGATGTTTGAATTCATAAGATTTTTCACCTGTTTCATACAACATGTTTGTTAATAACATGTTTCATATTCCTCTCTTGTTTTACTTTTTACCTTTGATAATTTCCTGCAACAGCATTTTCTTGTTAAAGTCACTGACCCAGGTGGGAAAGGGCCCATTTGAGTTAGGGCGATAGCAATTCAGCATGCGGAGAAAAAGACCCAAAGAGAACAGAAAGAAAGCTACATTCATGATACATCTGGACAAGAAGATACTGCTGCAAAGCAGTGTGTCTGCGTTGATTCCAGGTGAACTGATTGGGATGCCAGAAGCAGTATAAGTGGTTTGACTCAAACTGTGGATTCGATTAGGTGATGTAGTTCATAGCTAGACTTTGGTAACGCTGCATTTCACTGCATTGTACTTCTGTTGATGAGACAGAGCAATAGTAACATGTGAGCTCTAAGTGTGAAATGATGCACTCTAAAAAGCATTCTCTCAGATTTAAAAAAGAAAGCCTGCTACAGAACTGTTATGTTAATTTTATAATGTCTTGATAAGGACAAAAATCTGATATGTGTATATGAATCAGTAATGTGAAAAAAGATATTTAAGATGTATTCTGCTGAATTTTTCTGTTAATCCATATACCTTATTTCACAGGTAAAAAAAACAAACAGGGAAGAAGAGATCACTCACAGTTACATGTGTTTCAGCCTGCTGGTGTTGGTGCTTTCATTAGAACAGTAGCAAGTCAGCATGACTCCTTTTGTTTTACAGAAAGCAAGAAGAATTGAGGTTAATTAGAGGTTAATTAGAATTTAATTGGCAGTTCTTTTTTTCCCCCCTCTTACTCCTGCTGATAACAGGAATCTTAGAGTCCTTGACTGTGATGCCAACAGATTGGGCAGGCCTGGTGTTGATTGCTACTGCCAGCATGAAAGTGGTGCTGCAGTTCTGCAGCTGCAGTTCTTAATCAATGAGGTAAGGACATACTTACTCAGATTCTTCTGTATGAATTTAGTTCAATAAGTTAATTCATGTCTTGTAATTGAGTGATATAACTTTCACATTGACAAATTGTGCCAACAAATAAGTGGCATACCTCCAGAGGACATTCACCATACAGCCTTTTAGAAGATTATTTATGGGACTGCATGCAGGGGAAAGTATTACCTTCATATACATCAGTATGAAGTACTGAACAAAAGGCAGTTAATATATGAATGTGTTCATGTAGATGTAAAATCCATTAAATTACGAAATGTGCTGCACAGTCCTGATTCAAATAGAAATTAATAAATGGGATAAATCTTTCTATGGAAATATATTGATGGTTATTGGTTGAAAATTCAATATTTGGGAATATGCTATGACTTGAAACAAGGAAAAGCAATTGCAGGGGTCATCAATCAAGCCAGCATGCTTAGTTTTTGCAAATGGTTTGTAAAAATCAAGTTTAGACAATGTGAAGAAACAGTGACAGATTATAGCATGCTCTGTGCAGAAGGTCTCTAGACATGGTAACAGGAGACTTTTGGGAGCATATAGACCTGTTTTGTTTTTTTTCCTAGAACCTCTTAGCTTGTCCAAATGATAAGTTAGTCATAGTTCAGTTTTAATTCATTTTTCTCCCATGAAATAAGGGAAAGCTTTTGATAGTTTCAAGTTCTCTTTCTAAGCATGGACACCTTAGAACTTCTCAGTAAAAAAGTTTTAGTTTTGCAGTTTTTAAACCTGAGAAATTATTTTTTTTTCATACCTTTGTTTGGAGAAACTGCCTGAACCACAGAAACTGAGGAGGGGGGACTGAAACTTCAGAAACAGTCCAGTGGAATTCTTTAGAGGAAGGCAGGGATGAAAACGGGGAGGCCAAGGTTTGCATCATTGTACTTCCTTTTTATTAGGTGATCCCTAGAACCACTAATACCTAAGATTAATTTGATCTCTGTGGTGGAGATTCTCTCTGACACTGGTCCAACCTCTTTGGGAGATGAGCATTAAAGCATGGATTATCCTGAATTAGAGAAGTCTCACCTGCGTATGTCAACATTGAAAAGTTGCTAGGATTAGGAAGGAAATCCAAGATGCAGAAAGAGAAGCTTATTGGTCAGTAGTAGTTGGTATGAACTGATCTTTTCAGTTACAGCCTCACCCTTCCTGAGAATACAGCATTGCCTTCTGTTTGGGCAATATCTAGTTCCTCTCTGCCATAATAACACACAGGGATGGCTCTTTTGTATTCAAACTGATCTGAGGTGTAAATGTAATAAATCACTGCAGCAGCTGTAGGGAACTTCCTCTGCAGTCCATTTTCACATAGCATCACTGTTCCATGGTGAGAAGAAAGATAGTAGAAAGGAGATGGAGTGACTTCACATCAAGCTGCCCAGGCAGGTAGAGGTCTGGACTTTGGAAGATGCCCATTTTGGGGGCACCAGAAACAGAACCAGTCTTCAGAGTATTTCTTATCTGTGATAAAGACTCTCCTTTTGTCTACATCTCTTTTTCCTAGGTCTTCTCCCTCTGCTACCTGACCCTGTGTTCTTGTCTGCATTTTCTTTTCACAGTTCCACTTCTGAGTTTTGTGTTGTCTTGATAGGATTGCTGAACTGTGCTTGGCACCATCACTTGTGTGACAGTGTGTGCACTAATCCCTTTATCCTTTAGATACCCTTTACACTCACCTTTTTAAGTAAATGTTGTCTGTTCTCCATTTTGTTATCTCTATGCTTATGTGGAAATACACGGAAGTTCACATGTACCTTCACATGTAACCTTACTATAAAGCTTTAAATTGATGGAGTTTTGATTTAACTTTGGCTGATCTTGAACTCATTGAAAATATTTACATTTACCAGATCAATTCAAATTGACTATTATTTACAATAGAACATGTTTTGTTTTTTTTTTTTCTAGAAGAAAGCAAACATTTTCCATAAACCATATCATTTTCTATGGGTAGATCGTTACCAGTCAGGATCACTGAAAAATAAGGCAGGATCTGCAGAAAAGTAATATGTTGTGCTCTATTTTGTGTCTGCTCTAGGGTGCTTTGGTCAGTGCAAGTGCAGATGATGCACTTCATTTGTGGAATCTCCGACAGAAGCGACCGGCTATCCTGCATTCTCTGAAATTTAACAGGGAAAGGTAAGACTATGTGACAGAATTAATGTGTTATTTTTTCAAAAACCAAGCTTGCTTTCTGAATTTCTGATAATAGACCCTTATTAGTTTGTCTTTCTAAGGGTAATCTAGTTTTCCGTTGTTTGAGTCTTGTTTCCATAGAACAAAACCTCTCTTTCTCTTCCTGCAGCCTTCTGAGAGCTAGATAAATTTTGTCTGCTTTTCATCAGAATGTTTTTCATTTTACCTTCTTTTTGCATTAACTGCTATGGCAGTAGTGTATTTGTTTTCCTTATGACCAGACACAAGCACTGTCTCCTTTCAGCTGACCTGTTGTTCAGTTCTAGCCAGAGTACCTCAGCTGCCTGTATTGGGGAAATAATTATTTTCTTTACCTTGAAAGAGTTTTAAATTGTAAAATACTGGAAGTTGGGCAGAAATAAATTGTGGGTTTGGGAAACTGCCAAATGACAAATGAATCAGAGGCTGCTTCTCTAAATTCTGTTTTATCAGTACCTAATCATAGAAATCCCTACTGATAATAAGTTAAATGAGTGGTTGTGATTTTCAAACTCAAACAGAAGCTGAGCACTTGAGTCTGTATCTGGTTACCCAAGTAAAACCTGGTGCAATATTATGGAGTTTGCATGCTACCTTTCTACTAATAATATGAAAAAAGTTCTGTGTTTCTATTAAGGAATTAGGTCAGCAGAGCAAGATTCAGTGCAGAAATGCAGCAGTTGAGAGTCCTTGGGCAATACAGTTATTCTGTAGTTCATCTTTGGCATGGACCTTTTTGAAGTTTGAATACACAGATAAAATACATAGATATAGTACATAATGCATAGTATGGTTTTGATTGGAGGTTTCAGTGATTTTGTCATTTTCTTAAGATGTAGATTCAGTGTTTATTAAGGTGCAGCAACTTTTAGGTATTTATACATATGCTTGTGCAGTGGTGAAAGGTACCGGTACTTTACCAGAGCTGTGAAGTAATCGGGATCATCAAAGCTTTAACTGCAGCAAATCTGAAAATGATTATGGAAATAGACATTTTCCTGGTTTATTATTAAGATACATGTCATGCTTGCACTTATATGTCACCAAGTTGCAGGTTTTGTTATGGGAAGAGCTACATAATAATCTAGAAAATATACATCCTGATTCCAAATTAATATAACCTATAGCAAAAGTATATGCAGTGTTTTGGGACTGAGTGGGGGAAGATGAAAAACTAAAATGCTATGTCCATATGCTAGCTGCTTCTGAACAGTAAGTTATCGTTTTACACACGTTGAAATACTTTAATCTTGGTATTCTCACCATGCAGGTACATTGTCCACAGTTTGCCATTGATAAATCTGACTTGTAGAATTTATTCCAGTACATCCTGGTCTAGCTGTCCCAGCCAGCAACCTGCCATACAACCTAAGGGATCAATACTTATAAGAATGCAGCGTCTGTTCAGCAGTTTGCCTGTCATTTCTCTTCAGAGACACTAGCGTGGTATCTTGGTCAGAATTTTGTCAGAATTTCTTGATAAATTAAAGTCACACACATTTAGGCACTGCTGAGAGCAACATTTGTGTCATCACATTTGTCTAAATCTTCTTTTGCTTCTGACAGCCTAAAACATTGGGGAAAATATTTGGAAGCAAGTTACTTGGAATACTGGAAGCTGTGCATAAAGCCAAATTTAGTGTAATGACATTTTTGGCCTCTAGGTTTTTAAACAGGTATGAGGATATAGTTATTTGGAGCAAATGCATAGCTAGCTATACAGCCTTTTATCAAAGTCTCAGTGTAAGTAAATATAACTCTTAGTAAGTTGTAAGTAAAAAAACAAATATTGTTTCATGCATATTTTAAGTAACTGTTACAATCACTGCCACTTAAATAACTTTTATTAGCATATTATCAAATACCCTGATACACCTCCATATAATATTATCAAAGCAGCAAATCCAGTTTTAAACTAAAAAGGAGTTTTCAAAAGTATGAAGAAATAACTCTGTAGGCAGTTCTGTTCTTCTCAGTGTTGACTAGCACTGCCCTGAGTTTCTGGGGTTTTGCATTCAGGCACTTGGCTCCAGAATGAAATCTTTTCATTTTTCATAGAATCATAGAATGCTTTGGGTTAGAAAGGACCTTAAGATCATCCAGTTCCAACCCCATGCCATGGGCAGGGACACCTCACACTAGACCGTGTCGTCCAAGGCTCCGTCCAACCTGGCCTTGAACACCACCAGGGGTGGAGCATTTGCAACTTACTTAGGCAACCTGTGCCAGTGCTTCACCACCGTCACAGTAAAGAACTTCTGCCTAATATCTACCCTGAACTTCCCCTGTTTCAGTTTGAACTCATCACCCCTTGTCCTATCAGTTCAGTCCCTGATGAATTGAACCTCTCCAGTGTCCTTGTAGGCCCTCTTCAGACACTGGAAGTTGCTCTGAGGTCTCCATGCAGTTTCTCTTCTCCAGGCTGAACAGCCCCAACTTTCTCAGCCTGCCTTCATACAGGAGGTGCTCCAGCCCCTGATCATCCTCGTGGCCTCCTCTGGACTTGCTCCCACAGCTCCATGTCCTTTTTATGTTGAGGACCCTAGAACTGCACACAGTGCTGCAAGTGGGGTCTCACGAGAGCAGAGGGGCAGGATCACCTCCATCCACCCACTGCTCACACTTCTTTTGATTTTTATTATCTTTTCTTTTAATATACATACCAATTAATTTCAATTAATCTAACTCAGTTTTCTAAGCTTGATTAGATATTTAGGATATAAAACTCAACATAACCCTTTGGGCAAGTAACAAAAAAGTAGGGCTAAAATCCTAATTCACCCTCTCATTAATTTAGAACATTTCTCTGTATATACGCCTAACAGAACTAAGTCTGAAAGAGAGTTTCCTCTTTTTTCTGAATATATTTCTGTTCTAGAGCACAGAAGTTATAAATTATGTGATGCTCAGAGAAACAGCTAATAATGATTGCCTTAACTATAAGAAATTTGGGGCAAAATGGATATATGGGAATTGGGGAGACTGATAAGATTAAACAATTTTCTTCAAGAAATTCCAATATTTGTTCTTCTAAAACTTATTTTTATTTAGTGTTGGAATTGTTGATATTTTATTTTAATCCTCTTGCAGGGGGAGATTAAGAGGAGACAAGATTTATACTGAGGAGAGGTGGTCTTTAGTCTTAAGTTTGTGACACAGTGAATGGGTTGGTTTTGACGTTTCTTCAGTAGGAAGAAATGCTTGTTGGCAGAGAAGAGGTTTTAAAATACTGGTTCATGCTTTCAGATAGCAGCTGTTGAAGAAGACCGTACAGTTTAGACCATCAAAGGCTGTATTAGTCCAAACTCTTGATTAATTCGACCTAAGTGAATCAGCTTTCATGTAGAATCATTTTATTGAGAGGGTTTAAAGTATTTGATGCGTGAACCATACAACTCTTAGATTCTGTTAGATGGATGAGTGCTGCTTAAGTCTTTGGCTATTACTCACTGCACCAGTCTTCATACGGTTGAACTGTTTAAATTGCAATTTGCTTCTGCTTCTTGACATTTAAGATTGCAGGATGATGGACTAAAATCTGCTCTTAGCAGTGTTTCTGTGTATGTTTATTCAACTACTTGGGTCAAATTTTGCCAAGTGTATACATATATATATATATATATTTCTCCTTCTTTTTTTTTTCCACAAAACTGAAAACCATATTTGTTCTTTAAGTTTTGGTAACAACTGGTACAGAGTAAAGACTCTTTAATGCAGCACAGTGGTTAGATGTCATTTATCATGTAGCATCCAGTATTAAGACACTGAATGGTTTAGGAATAATAATTCACTAAGAAAATGCTTTTCTGTAGCCATGAAGTCATACTTTGCAGCCTCTCCAGATATTTTCTTTCTTCTTGTGACCTATTGTTAAACTAACGATGGTGCAACGTAAGTATTGTTAACTTGTCTCTCCTTTACAAAGTGCCTCTTTGGATCATGCATAGAAGGAATCCTGAGGAGTGAGGCATAATGGCAAACGTATTTTGGTTCTACAGTGTAAGGCTCTGGACTTTTTAGCAAATTATATGGTTTTGCCTGATATCAAAATACAAGGTTACAATCTTTCATTTTTATTGCTGCAATTGGAATGGAATACAATGCATTAAGAACCTTAAAGAAAATGTAAATGTAAGCAATGTGTTTCAGTGCTCAGCTCTGTGCCAAGAGCTGTGATGATAACACAGTTACTCAAAGAGAGGCTTGATGGTAGCACATGACTGATAATATATGATTTGCCTTTCCGTATACAAGTGGAATGGACAGGTAACATTTTTTAACCTCTGGAAAGACTGTACAAGAATCACCTTGGTATTTTTTGAAGGTTAACATTATGGTGACATTCCTTATGTTAATTCCTGCTTTCTTGATGTCATAGGAGATGCCATATTCATCTTCAGTAGACATTTTAGGCAAAATAAATAACTCAGTTACTGGAACTGTCTCTGTCTGACGCAAAGAACCGCTGGAAACTATTATAGGCCTTAGTTATTTTTAATATAGTCAGAGCAGACTTCAGCAAATATAGATTTAATTATGCACCAGTTTACATAACTTTCCCATATAAGATTAGTGCAACTGGGACAGGAAAAACCAGCAAGGATTACAGTGTGAAATCCAGGCCCTTTAGGCCTGCATGCTCTCGTTTCACTTAGCTCATCTGTCATTCAGAAACTGAGCTAGTTCACTTGTGCTGACTGACGTAGGAAATAGACCTCCTCTTTTTCTTCTTCTAGCCAGTGCTGATTGGTGTGTTAAAGTGAGCCAGCAGCACTACAGCAGTTTATCCACTAACTTCTACTCAGCATACATTAAGACAGTTATTTTGGGTCTTTAAATCCACCTGCACATACTGTGCTCTAATGCCATGACAATACTGTAAGTGCCCTTCTGCAGGGGTATCACAAGGTAACAGAGTCTGTATAACTGGCTTTGGGGTTCTGATCTGTAACACATTATTTAGT